AAGATTATCTTCTGTGTCTGTATTTATTGGTTTCCCTTTTCTTTGTTGAAGAGGGTCTGTGCAATCCTTCTGCCTAGTCCGCCATCTTGCCCCGCCTCTAGCATTTTAAATTTTAAGCTTTGGTGTAGTTGCTGAAAGTAGCTCAGGGTCTAAGACGCTGGCAATTAACTGAAATTGTATTTGTACATCAAGAGGGCAAACAGAATCAATACTAGTTCTCATGAACCTCAGAAGGAATTGGAGCCCTAGGACTGGAAGTGTCAGACCCTAACATCTATAACCCATTGCTGCGATGAGCATTTGGCCAGCACTCTGCTGGTCACGTTTTGCAGACCTGAGCCAAAGCTGTGGTCCCTGTGAATCTTTGCTTTCTGACGCTTGAGGAGGATTTAAGAAAGTGATGCAGGATCAGTTAGTGAGGGCCGTGCTGCTGCTGCATGACCAGCTCCTCACCGTGTCCCGCAGTCGCCACTCATCGTGCCTCCCTTTCTCCTGGGGCCTGGGGCCTGCAGGTCAGGAGCTGCTGGGCTGAGCTGACTGGCAGTTTCTAACGAGGGGGTGGCTAGGTGTCTTCTAGCTGCTGTCATCTGAAGGCTTGAGTAGGACTAGAGGCTTCACTTCCAAGTGGCTCACCCTTGTGGCCAGCAAGTTGTTACCATCTGTAGGTGGGGTGCATGCCTCCCCACATAGGGGCATCACCACAGTGCTGCTTAACATGCCACATGGCACACTGACAACTGGCCTGCCACAGCATGTGATCCAAGATACAAAAGTCATGCCTCTAGCTCCTTTATTTTTATTTTTTCTTTAGCACAGTTTGGTGTCCTCCCTTCCCCCAGTGTTATCATACTGGTCACAGAGTCTCTCCATACCATCCCTCCCCTTACCTGCCTCAGCGTGTGGCCCCCAACTAGTCTGAAATTATCCTTCAAGGGCTATAAATTTTGCACCTGTAATCACAATTATACATTTGCTATTGAAAAGGCTCTGGTAGCATAGTGCCTAAGGCACCTGACTGCTAACCAGAAGGCTGGCGGCTCACACCCACCAACCACTCCCCGGAAGGAAGATGGGGCAATCTACTTCTGTAGTGATACTGCCTCAGCAACCCAAGGAGGGGTCACTATGAGTCAGTCCGACTTGAGGTGCATAACAGTAATTGATGGGTGGGGCTGTTTGAAAGTGATTTCGCCATAATCCTCTTAGTATCTGATCTCAGCTCAGTACATGTTGGTTCTATTCTCCAGTACAGCCTCTGTTTATACTCTCCTTTCCTTTCCTCGTTGCCATACACACAACTGGGGCTTCGATGTCATCTGTTACATCATCAGCTTGTTATGTTCCTCCACCACTTACATTACATGCTCTTGGTGCCCAACACAGGATGGACACTCAAGGAAAAGTCTTGGCCCTTTGCTGCAATCTCTCTCTACAATGCTCCCTTGATTCTACAGATTGAGAGACCATTTGTCAGGCAAGTGTTTCTTTGGACTCAGTTAGACTCAAATTTGTCTCATGGATTAATCCATTAAAAATCAGTGTTAACGTCCAGAGCAAAGAAGAATGAAGAAAATCAAAGACAAATGGAAACAATTAGTCCACAGGACCATGCGATCCTCAGCCTATATGCCCATGAGACCAGAAGAACTAGATGGTGCCCAGCTACCATATCAACCACTCAGAGGGGGATCTATGAGGAGATCCTGGATAGAGTGGGAGAACAATGTGGTACAAAACTCAAAATCATTAAAAAAAAAAAAAAAAAAAGAACCAGGTTTGCTGGTCTGATAGAGCCTGTTGAAACCCCTGAGACTATGGCCTCTAACTGCCCTTCAGGTCTGGCATTGAACCTGCCCCTGTGGCTTCCAGCTAAACAAAAGACAGGCATATGAGCTGAACATTTACATTAGGTAGATACACTCATTGGAGAGATCAATCGTGGGAGAATAAAAGGGCTGTGTATGCACAGGGACGTAGCTCAGGGGGCAAGAATGCATGGGAGAGAAGGACACAGGGAAGAGGTAACTATGGGGAGGATGTGGGAAGAGAGCTATTGCATTGTGAGAAATTGCAATCAATGTCATGAGGAAAAGTACATGTGAGCTGCTGTGAGGAAAGTGAATTTTCTCTGTAAACCTTCACCCAAATCACAATAAAAATTTCTTTTGAAAAATCAGTGTTAACAGATGGCAGTAAATTTAGCCTGTTGACGACATAATGACAAGCCCCTGGAGAGCTAAGGAGACAGAAGTAATGTTTGAGGGGATAAAGGTGGGTAGGACAGGTGGGAAAGGGCACAGATTTGGGGTCTTCATATCTGAGGGCAAGCACAGGCAGAGAGGAGTAACAGGGAGCCCATGATGTTCAGGACCTGGCAAGGACAGCAGAGTGCCCTGGGGTGAGCCAGAGGTGGTGGTCAGGTGACAATGCAAGCTGGAGGCTGTAGTCAGGGGACAGTGTGTGATGCGGAGGCCATGGTCAGGTGATGGTATGAGCCAGAGGCTGTGGTTGCGTGACAGCATGAGCCAAAGGCTGTGGTCGGGGAACAGTAGCATAAGCCGGAGGCCACGGTTGGGTGACGGTGTGAGCCAGAAGCCATAGTCCGGTGATAGCATGAGTCAGAGGCCATGGTCGGGTGATGGTGGTAGGAACCAGAGGCTGTTTGTGTTCAGGTGATGGTGGTGTGGGCCGGAGGCCGTGGTCGGGTGATGGCGTGAGCTGGAGGCCGTGGTCGGGTGGTCGGGTGGCAGTGTGAGTGGGAGTCTGTGGTTGGGTAGCACGCCCCCAGGGTCTGACGTTCCTGTTCCCTGTGCCTCACAGGTGTCCGGCACCAGGCGGCTGCCTCGGGGCTCTCCCTGCTGCAGCCCTCCTTCCAGGGCTGTATGCAGCTCATCCAGGTGGACGACCAGCTGGTGAATCTGGACGAGGTGGCGCAGAGGAAGCCGGGCAGCTTCGCCAACGTCAGCATCGACATGTGCGCCATCATAGACAGGTAAGCAGTCTGCATCCCACCGCGTGCCGTCCACGTGTGCCCGGTACACATCTGTGTCCCGAGCTGGGAAGCACCAGCAGGTAGGATCAGCGAGGGGAGGGAGAGTGGGCGCGGCGGGTCTCTGGTGCAGGCGTGGCGCAGTGCGGTGCGTGCTTCAGGACCAGGACGGGATGGCCCAGCCCTGGGTGCCGCCTCGGCCCGTCCCCCCTCGGCGAGCGTGAGCAGGCAGATTAGCAGCTGACTTCCAGGTGCTCTTGGCTGTGTTAACTGTGCCTCCTCTGCCCGGAGCCTGCAGCCCGCCTGCCCTGTCCCAGTGGAGAGATTCAGCTCGTAGCTCCCTCCAAAGCCCCCCGTACTGGGAAGGAAGCCCTGACAGATGTCCGCGGGCTCTGCAGGAGCACACTGCCTCGTCGTTCTCCCGTGAGGTGGCTGGTGGGTTTGAACTGCCGACCTTTGTGTTGGCAGCTGAGCACACGTGGGCATGTGGAAGCAGAACATTGAGAGTGTCGGAGTCCACGGATGAAAAACACACTTTGAAATGGCACCACGTGTAATCTGTATTAGTTTCTGCAATCTGAGGAGGGGCTTTTTATAACATTGTAAGTGACCGATGTTTCACGCATGGGAAGAGATGCTTTTACACAAAATATTATGAAAGCGTCTCACACGCCAGCTTAGCCTGCTTCTGAAACGTGCCTTTTATTCTGAAATGGATAGAATTTCATTGTGAGAAGTTTTGCCTGTAAACCGACTAAGTCTGGCTGTGAGTTGCTGTTAACCCGGTGGATTTACATGCTTTTAACTGTTGTAAAATCCTCTGCAAGAGGTCGCTCACATTCTGAAAACCACTTTACTCATTTTGCATTTTGGAAATGAATGTTCTTCAAACATTTTTGAAATTTTGAAATAAGATTTCACCCCTCCCTTGGTCTCCCCCAGTGGAGTGTAGCCCTGTAGCCAGAAGCAGTCTAAGTCCACTGAAGTCGAGCTCTGAGGCAGTCAGCCCAAGACATAGGAGGAATCTGACAAGAGGTAAAGTGATGTAGGATGAAGGAAGCTGACTTCTCTAGACAGTCATAGTCTCTTGACATCCATGATAGGTTCTATGGAATGGGACTCCATGCTACACATGGACAGTCCCCGGATCACGAATGTGTTCCGTTCCTAAATCGGTCTTTTAGTCAAGTTAGTACCTAAGTCGGAACAGTTGAGTACAGTTCACATTTGACATCAGTCAGTCACTGTGTACAGTATGGAGCGTACCTTTCTACGCTTGGAAAAATGAAGGAACCCTTCCGGTCTACTGACAGCTATCTAACATGATGCAGCAATACCGGTAAGGAAAGTGTTTGGATGTGTGTCACGAAGCA